GGCTCAACTTTCTCTTCTGTGTTCCCTTTTTCTTCTCACTCTCTGCCACACATCAGTGTGTTTTTTTTTTGCCAGATAGCTCCTCCTTTTCTCCGGCTGCTAGCCCCAGCTGTCATCTCTGCTTCCCATCCCCCAACTTTAGTTATGCAATTTTACATTCAACTTTTCCTGGTTTTGCTGTCTCCATTTTTAATGCTTTGCTTCTGCTGTCCCCTGACCCCAGCTTTTAATCTCTCCCTCCACCAAAGCCAGTAGCCACTGTTCAGTTTCCCTGTCATTATGGAACTAAGTGCATTGATAGTGATATTTTCTTAAAACTCAGATCTGAGCCCAGCTTAGACTGTGGGTGGAGGTGATAGCTGGGAAGGGTGTGGAGTTGAGGTAGACATGATTATTCTAAAATTTAGGCTTTTTCCAAAATAGTGGGTGAACCTTGATCTGGAGATCAAAGAGATGCTTCTCTAATGGCCTCCAACTCTAAGCACTTGTGTGCTTTTGTGCTGAGGGTATATACTTGTTTGAAAGCCCTTGGTAATGAAAGGAAGGGCAGTGAGAAAGGTAGCTTACTGTGTAACTGCTTCTGAGAGCTGGTTTTTCTCCTGAATTGGAGCTAATTTTGGATAGATAATGAAGTGGATGGTTGCTAATAACTTTCCCTTGCTAATTGTAATTTCACTGTACTGTTTTAGAGAATTTTTTTTTACACTCTTCTTTCCTTACTGTTTGGAGGAGAAATAGATTTATTTTTATAATTTTTGATGGGTGTTCAGCTATCCATACATAAATCCCATAGTTGGTTTGTGTAGAGGTAGTGCAGTTTATTGGAAAGAACTCTAAGAGCTGAAGACTTCCATTCTAGTCCCAGTTTCAGTCAGGATTAGCCACCTGTGTGTTCTTGGGCAAGTCATGAACCTACCTCTATATTTGCCCTATGAACTTTACAGAACTATGTGAGTGAAATGAGGTCTATATGCACACACTTTGCAAAATGTAAAATTTTATAAAAATGTTAAAAAAAAATCTGGCTGGGCATGGTTGTGCACACCTGTACTCCCAGTGATACCAGAGGCAGAGGCATGAGGATTACAAATTCAGGACCAGACCGGACAATTTAGCAATACCCTGTCTGGAAAAAAAAAAAAATGATTAGGAATGTAGTACAGTGGTTCAGTCCTCAGTACCAAAACAACAACAACAACAAAAAAAAAAAAAAAAAAAAAAAAAACCGGTCAGATCTGCCCTTTATTGTAATATTCACAGAAACATATCGAATGTCTTAAGTTCCTTCCTCCTCTGAAGCCAGTATTCTCAAAACCAGGGCATTGGGATCCTCAGAATTAGGGATATTTCTTGCCTTTGAATCATCTTTTCAGGCTGGGGATATAGCTCAGTGGTAGAGTGTTTGCCTTGCATGCACAAGGCCCTGGGTTCAGTCCCCAGCACCACACACACACACACACACACACACAGAATGAATGAATGAATGAATGAATCATATTTTCCTTTGTTTTCTCATTGTTTACCCCCCACCGCCCCAGTTGTTTTAGGAAATCTTTGACTCTGCACCTCTTCCTGCATCCTTTAGTGAGATAGATAGTAATTTTAAGGAGTTACTGGTCATAGGGTGCTGCATGTTCYGGTGGAGGGTCCCTAGTTTTTGTGGCTAGGAATAATTTATTTATTTAAATGGCGACGAAGTGTATCTTTTTTGGAGGGGCGGGCAGGGATTGAACCTGGGGTGCCTAACCACTGACCCATATCCCTAGCTCTTTTTTATATTTTATTTAGAGATAGGGTCTCCCTGAGTTGCTTAGAGCCTTGCTAAGTTCCTGAAGCTGGCTTTGAACTTGTGATCCTTCTTCCTCAGCCTCCTGAGCCACTGGGGTTACAGGCATGTGCTACCGTGCCTGGCTTATCTTTATCTTTTAATAACTACTGAAGTTTTTCCTGTCTTGCAAGACATGTTGATTGCATTTGGGGAAATTGTTGATACTGTGCTTTGGCTTTGGACACATCTGGATTCCAGGCAAACTCCTATTATTATTAGCTTGTGAATGGGCAAAATATTTAACTTTTTGGACCTTAGTCTCYGCATATTTAAGGGGATAAAAGTGTACATATCTATAAAGCAGTTGTGAGGATAATGAATGCAAAGTGTTTAGCACATTGCCCAATATATATACTTAGAAAATGTTACCTCTTTGTATAAGCCTAATAATAATGGCCGTTTAAAAATATTTTTAGTTGTAGATGGACACAGTACCTTTATTTTATTTATTTTTAGGTGTGTTAAGGACTGAACCCAGTGCCTCATATGTGCCAGGCAAGTGTTCTATCACTGAGCCACAACCCCCATCCCTTATAATGATCTTTGAAAAGAGCATAGAAAGATGTTCATTGTCAGTATTTTAAGGGATTTTAAATGTCATTCTTAACCAAATTTGTTTAAATATACATCATATAATTTACCAGTTCAAACAACAGTTTTGACCTAGTCCTATTTGTTTTGATAATAGATATAAAATAGAACTGCATCAAATTAACATTTCTTCCTCCTTAATAGGATGTCTTCTTGGGGATGGCATGGTTAGGCTGAGTGACTTGCTTAGTTTTGTGTAGTGGGAATCACATTCAGACTGTTTCTCAGCTTCCTTTGAATTGTGTGATATTTGGATTTGGGGTTACACTGGAATTGGATGGGTTCATGGTGATTCTGAACGTTTCTTTTATATTAGCATGATCAACAGTTTGATAAGCAGTCTTTAAGTGTAAGCCTGCTTTGAAGTGCAATTCAGAAGAAGGAAAAATATGCAAAACAAATCCACTAACAGATTTCCAGTGCATAATCAAGTGCATAATTACAGCATTTGAGAGGATACAAACTCCTGAGGTTCCCAAGGAATGTGAAAAGACAATTTGTGATCATCGATACTTAATGGTCAAGAGTAGGATTAAAGCAGAGTAATACTCTTTACTGTATTCCAGGGATTTATTAATACTCAGTTTTCTCTGTTAAAAGTAATAAATTGAATGAAACCAGCTTCTTTTGCCTTGACTGTATATTTGTTGGCATTGTCTTTCCAGATGGGCAGGGGGTCTTTTGAGACTGAGAACAAGGTTCCTTGTTTTGCCAGTTCCTTTATCTGCCAGTGAGCTCTGTTCTTCATATAGGGCTTTGAAGGTTCCTTTCTGCAATTCTAAAAATTTTGTGTCTGAGAATGACATCTGTTTATCTATTTGGGGTCTCTGTTTATTACAAGGAACAAATGTGAATTTGAAGGAGGTAGTTTAGAGTAACATATTCAAGCCAGAACATTTAGTCTAATTAGTTAGTATATTTCTGTGATCTCCAGATTCTATTTCAGTAATTGGAAGACTAGTATGAATTTGGAGGTCTTGAGGTCTTGACCTCTACTTGAGTTAAGTATAGCACTTCCCTTAGCATTCTTAGATCCATGGGGTGGGGTTTATCTCCGAAGGCAAATATTACTTTGGATATAAACAAATGTTCCCACTTAGCAACCTCCATTTTCAGTTAGCCCCATTACATTCTTGGCTTCTGGACTGTAGGAACACTGTTCTACTTTATTCTTTCTCTCCAGAATATTCTTAGTCTACTATTGGTAGCTCCTGACCCCACTCTGCTCACTTCAGGGGAACTTTCTTAGCTCATGAGCCACAACTCCAAAAGGAAGTTGCCAAGCCACTTAAAACGCCCTCTTTTAGCTTCTTGCCCTTATCTTAGGACACTACCTGAATTGGCAGAAATGCTGCATGAACCCTAGGTGGAGCGAATGAGTGAGAGAAAGTATGCTTATACTATGATTTCTTTTCCTGTGGGCCTAACTCCCAAGTTTTTCCAATGAGCCTGAATGAAGAAGACAATGATGATTTTACTCTCTGCCATTGCCACTTTGTCTTATGGAAGTATAACCTCAAACAAATTATGGGCAAGTGGAAATAGGCATCAACTTTATTTCCTGGGCTGTGCCTGGCAGTGTTGGCCGAGACCTGGCCTTCTCCTTAGAATTTAGTTTTAATTCTTCACTGTACATACTTCATCTTTTTAAGCTGCTTCTAGAAGTCAGGCAACTAGACTAGGTAGAGAGAGCCTGTAAGAAAGCATGGCATTTTCAGGAGATATTTCTAATTGTATGGAATTATGGAGGGCATATTCCCTGTATTCACTAGCAATGAATTGGGTTGCTGTTAACTGCTGGGTCAACTCCTGAGCTGACCCCAATAGTAATTCTCAGTCTGCTGTGAAGTGTCCAGTTCTGTGCCTGAGGATCTGCATTCAAGTAGAAGCTGACTGGTTATAGAAAACTGCGCTATTTTTTTTTTTTTTTTTTTTGGTCATAGGCCTCTGAAAGAATAGGAGGTGGGGAAAATCAAATCTAAACTCATGGTAGAATCCTGCATGAGAGAAATGTGCTACCTTTCAGCCAAAATTTGGGACTCTTGAGTCCCAAGAGAAGATACCAGTAGGTCAGATAATACTTCTTGTTGAGGCTTACTAAAGACATTGCATCTCAAATGAAATGCTTACACATCTAAAAGAGAGATCCTGACTTGGCATATAAACCTACTGCCACTTCTGGTTATCTTTCATCACTTGCTTGAGTTTGAAAAGGTAATGGTTTATGCTCTAAGGAAAGAGGCTCTTTCCCAAAACCTGAGGCTTTCTCATTCCTACCAGCTGGGCCCATTGCTAAAATGCTTTCCAGTGGGCTTGCTTCTGCCTGGCCAGCACCTGGGCTGCCCCAGCTTGCAGTTGGCCTGCCTTTGCTTCATAAGCTTCCCAGGGTGGTTCTTCTTCTAAAAGCTTGTATGAATTGCTATTACTGTCTCTTTATAGTTTAAAAATGAATCCTTTTTTGTTCTTTGCAACTCATTTGCTTTTTTCTTTTCTTTAAATTACTATTAACACCTGTTGATTCTTTTTTTTTTTTCTGGTTGGCCTGTCACTGCATTCCTGCTCCCCCTCCCTCTAGCTGGGTTTGTCAAGTCGCCCATGTCAGAAACTAAGCTCACGGGGGACGCCTTTGAGCTGTACTGTGACGTGGTCGGGAGTCCCACGCCAGAGATCCAGTGGTGGTACGCAGAAGTCAACCGGGCAGAGTCTTTCAGACAGCTGTGGGACGGTGCTCGGAAGCGCCGTGTCACCGTAAACACCGCCTACGGGTCAAACGGCGTGAGTGTGCTGAGAATAACCCGGCTCACCTTGGAGGACTCTGGGACTTACGAGTGCAGGGCCAGCAACGACCCCAAGAGGAATGACTTGAGGCAAAACCCCTCCATAACATGGATTCGAGCCCAGGCCACCATAAGCGTCCTTCAGAGTGAGTCCAGCACCCTACAGTAGTAGTACTGTAGTCATTAGAGGTGGCCCGATGACCCTTCCCTTCTGCTACCTTTTCCTCTTCCCCAGTATGATCGCTCACCCCACCCCTTGTCTTCGTTTTTTCAAACCCACGACCCTTCTGGTTGTAGTGTATGAAAACATCTGTGGCAACTTTTTTTTTTCTTCTTTGCCGTCCTCTCTGCCTCCCTTATTTCCCCACCCTTCTCTGTGTCTTTCTCTTCAGGAACAAAGAACTTGAGGAAATCCATGACTGTCCAAAATCATCCGTGTTGGGGAGAGGTGGGAAGGGAGAACTGGGGAAGTTAAAAAAAAAAAAAATCAAATATAAAACCAGGCAGTCAAACAAGGGTAGTGTTGAAATTGTTTCTTTCCCTTCCCTTTAATTTTGTAGTAGGTTTCCTGCTATCCTTTTGCTGGTTTCTCCTCTGGTGCCTTTCTATTTTTGTTTCTCTCCCCAGTCTAACTACTTTTTATTTCTTCTGTTCATCTGTTTGAAGCTCTCTGAGTAGCTGCCTTCACCTCTATGGTTTTAAGTTTGTGTCTGCCCAGCCTCTTCCCTCACTGTAACTTAGTGTCATCCTGTTCTGTGATGGGAATGTTGCCATGGGTGCAGTGTGGTGATGTGTTTTGATTGTTGGATGGCACATAAGCTTGGATATTTCCATAGTTTTAGCTCTTTTTCTTTTCTAAAACAGTGGCATGTTCTTCTCTGACAGCAACCCTCCACTGCAGCAGTACATCCCTCACTGGGCCTATACATTCATTTCCCTGTTTTTTGTTTGTTTTTAAGCAGCAGCCCAAGATTACTTCCATGTCTTGCTTGCCATTAGGAGCTAGGTGATACAAAGCTGCAAAATATATTTTTAAAGCCCCATCACCATGTCTCAAAGTCCAGTTGCATCTGATTTCTATTTACAAATAGTTTGACTTTGATGACTGTTGGCACAGTGTTCCTCATACCAGAGGATGGCAGCCTCTGAAGTAGTTTGGAAGCCATACACAATGGCCTTCTCTTTATGTCTTAAAGAAAGATATGTCTTAAATACAACACTATTTCTCAGAGTGATGGAGTAAGCTGAGTATAGGGGTCAGAATTCTCCCCTTCATCTATTATAGTAGGCACAAGTGAGACATCTGACATAGCAGCTTTTGTGCTCACTTCTTTTTTCTGGAAAGTGACTTTTGCTTTGTATGACAGGAGGAAGAGGCACCATAGAACTAATGCTCTTGACCAGGAAGTGTTTCAGCCCCATCTTAGACCTAGTTATAATTGAGGTTACATTCTCTGTTTGATAGAAGAAGAATGTGGATTTATCACATTATCTTCAAGGGCTCAGTGAGAGACCTATAGCCACTTCTAGCTTAAAGACCTGACTGATAGAGTAAAAGTAATAAAGTACTATTTTATGAGGAATTTTGTAATAACACGGGAGGTAATGTGACATGGGCTCTGAATCTGCATATGGAAAATAGCACATTAATGTCTGTTCTTTGTAGCTATTTGGGGAAGATTTCTGTGGGGGTTGGGATAGGCCTTAGAGGAGAGAGAGGATAGGCTGCTGCAGTTGGCACTGTTGAATCAGAGAACCTGCTCTGTAAAGGGGGAAAAGAAAACCTTGTCTATGTGAAAATGGGGAACATTAACCCAGCAATTTTTCTTTTCTTTTCTTTTCTTTTTAACAATTTTTTCCCTTGCACGCCTCCTTCTCCTGTCCCCTTGCTCCTTTCCTTATAACATCAGAATTTCTCATATGGCCACAAAAGTCTGCAGAAGTTTAGGCATGGACAGGACTGGGCATTTGGTAGTTATTCTTCCAAGAGCCTGGCTCATAGCTAGAAAGGCTAGGCCTGGGGGCTAGAAAAAGATGAGGTGCCTACCCATCAATCCCAGAAGTACACAGCATTCTCCCATTTACTTAGAAATAAGCTTCCTGCCTTAAGAGTGTTTGTATGTAGTTAATCAAATCCTGGCCAGTCATTCTTACTCTAGACTTCCCAATCAGTCACTCAACCCAAGTTAGCTGTTTGTTGCTCCCTACCCCCCCTTTTTTTTCTTTCATGAACACCCTAAATTCAACTGTAATTGTTTTATCTTAGGCATCCAAGAAGAAATTGCCTCTCTGGGGAGGTTGAAGTCTTCTAAGAATAACCCCCTGGCAATACTTTTCCCAAAGTTCTTTGAATGATGTAATGCAGGAAGAGAAATGTGCCCTGTTTTTAGGGTGTCTCTGTGGCCATAGCATTTTCTTTATACATGATGACTAGGATAAGGGTCTCCTACCTGATGCTTCTAAATAAAAGTCAGTGGCAGATAAAAATGTTTGAACTTCTCCTAAATGTTCATCTCTCTCGAACTTTGGACAGTACTTGGCCACAGAAATAAAAGTCCCACCTTCATCTGGGTGCAGAATGCAGATATGGCGCCATGGCCAAGGATTGGTCAAGTACTGGTTTCCATATACAGCAATACATAGGAGGCAGGCTACCTACCCCACAACCCTCCTATGCTGCAGAATCATGTTTAAGCCTATTTAAATTATCCACTTGCTCCCAACTGACTCTCTCATGGATCTTTTAACATTAAGGGGAAAAGTGCTTTCCTTTGCCTTCCAAGAATTCTTGGCAGAATGTCTACCAGATTACTTTCATCAACTTCTTAATCTCCCTGAGCTGCAATGGTCATTTGCATCGCTACAGGTAAGAATAGCATTTATTTTGGCCTCCTTGTATTTAAACATCTGGAAACTCTTGGCCTCATTCTCAGAGTTCAGCCTTTCTCAGTGCAATCTGAGAAGAAGAAACCAAAGGAGAGTCCCAAGCGGGGCGGAAAATGAAATCGGATAATAAAAATTTAGTAAAAACCTGAAAGTGTGTTTGGATTTTAATGTTGCCTTGATATTTTTTTTTAATTTCTCTTCTGTGGAGTACTGGTTCTTTTTCCTCTTTTGTTTTTGCTTGGTTTTGATTTTTCTTGGAATTGTGATGCTTTCTGCTGATGGTGTGTGTGCGCCTTTCATTGCAGGGTTTGCAGCCATTCAGCTCTACTTCTTAAGGCCCAGGGATTTGGCTTCTGTCCAGTGTGTCTTGGAAACCATGGGGACACCACTGCGCTAACATGTTCACATGCATCTGCTTTTGTCTTAGTGGCTGCTATGCCTCCATTATCTGTACATAGAGACCCTGTTTGGTGTTACTGATAAGAACCAGTGCTGAATGGAAGATAACCACTRTCCTTTTGCTAGAATTGGAAATTAATAGAACCACTTTGTTAATTGAAAAACTTACGGATTTGCTTTATCACAAGTTTGTTTGACAATATAAACTTTGTAGTTAGAAATGTTAAATTGGTTAGGAGATCTTAAGGCATTATGTTTTCCAAGTATCCCATGACTGTTCCATCCTCTTCCCCTCCCTGAACAACAACAGAATGGTTCCAGTAGAGGAAGATAATTCTGTTCTTCATAATCAGAACTATATTACATAAAATGGCAAAGGGAAAATGCTTGGGACAGGAAGCTGCTATAGGCAGGAAGTAGTCAGATACAGGGTAATGGGAAGTCAATCATGGGTTTCTGAGAAAGAACTGGGGGGCGCACAAATAAATATCCCTTAATGTGATGAGAAAAGATGGTTAGTGTAGACCTCACCTGAAAATGTTTGACCAAAAATAGAAAAATAATAGCCTAGGAAAAGATTAAAGACTAATAATAATAGCAACAAAAGATAGGATAACCTAGAAACCTCCAAACTTTAATATAGCAACGAAGATTTCAAAATGCTTTAAAGATAAGCCTTCTAGGAATGATAGTGTGACTTAAAGTTTTTCTGCCGTGTTATATTTGACTAATATATAGGTTATTTTTGTAGGTAAACTGGTGATCCCAGTTTATCTAAGCCCAGGATAGAACTAGAAAGTAAAGTTACATAACTTGCCTTAGGTTCGAAGTTTGGGTGAGGTGTGTGTTTTGGGGGGTGGGGGTAAGGGATAGAGAATTCAATCAGATGTGTTTTCTAGGTCCATTTTTGCCACTAACAATAATTACAGCCTTGTCATTTCACCTTTCTAGCTCTTGAAAAGAGGTATTTAGTAAACTCTTAGGGCCTTGCAGCTCTAAAATTCTTGTAGCTCATAATTCCAAGACATTGCACTATAGTGTATTATTTTGAAATTGAATGTTTTAAAGTGCAATTGTGGAAAAAAAATGTTTTGGGAATAAATATGGGCTGAAGAGAAGAAGAACTGATAGTTCTTTAAGAATTTTCCCTCCTTAAAATTCAGAAAATTCAAGAGACTTCCAGTGGGAAGTTTGCTTTTAGGATATACACTTTTTTTGCATAAATAATGGCCATGAATGGTTTGCCACAGGTTTAACAGATTTAAATGTGGGGAAAGCCATACATGTATTATTTAATTACACTTATTACTGTTCCAATAGGTGTAGACTCCAATGACTCTCATAGAGAATTTATTAGTTATAGAAATGATATTGCCTTTGTTTTTAGAACTGCAAAGTAAAGCCTGGTTTTCTAGTTGAAGCTGAATTGGTCGATGATTCTTATATCAGAAAAAGGTGGTATTCAAAAATTGTTGCCAGTACATATACCTGTAATATTCCCATTCTTTCACGTCTAGGCCAACTGGTCTTCAGGCTTTGTCTGCACTAGTGGTCATTTGCTTATAATCATTGTTTTTCCTTTTTTGACTTCCTCCAAAGTGATAAAGTGAAAGTCCTCATGTGGTCCTGTCTGCCCTCCCTTTTCTTCTAATTTCCCCTTCCTATCCCACCCAACTCTAAGGCCAGGGTTACAGACAATGGAAAGCTCTGGCCCCCTATCATTGTACACTCTAATTGCAGAGCCAAGAATTGTCACCAGTGAAGAAGTCATTATTCGAGACAGCCCTGCCCTCCCTGTCACCTTGCAGTGTAACCTCACCTCCAGCTCTCACACACTTACATACAGCTACTGGACAAGGAATGGGGTAGAATTGACTGCCACTCGTAAGAATGCCAGCAACATGGAATACAGGTGAGAGGGGCTAGCACCTCTTTGGAATATGGGTGGGAGTGTGGCTGAGCTTACTTGACTTTTTGTAAGTCATAATCATTAAGACTTTACATACACATGTTGAAATGACGAATCTGAGAATGATGTTTAAAAGGTGCGTTGGGAACTGTTTTCTCACAGTGAATTGAAATGTTTCTTAAACTGTTACCTATTTATTGACACGTTCGACTTGTTTCTCTACAGGCCTTTCTTACTAATGCTGTTCAAGCCTTATTAGGAGTTTACATATAGATGTTAAAAAGATTAGTCTGAGGCCATTATTTAACAAATGCAATGTAAACTTTTTCCTTTCACTTCTTTCTCTTTTTAAATTGGTGCATTATAATTGCACATAATAATGGGATTCATTATGCTATATTCATACATGCACATAATTTACCAAATAAATGCTATGTCCATGTACAGATGTGCCATATCAAATTCCACTTATATATAATTATAATGCACTAATTAAAATAAAAATCATAGCACTAATAATAATAATAATAATAGAAGGGAGATCAGTAGATTAGGGTAGTAGAATTGTGGGAGCAAAGAAGAAAAGAAAAGGGAGGGAAGGTACTGGGAAGTGAACTTTTATTTCAGTGAATTTAAGTATTTACTAAACTATGAACTATGATATGAGATATATTTGTTCCTCTCCTGGATAGTCTAGTCCAGTATATCTGATGTGAGGTTCAAGAATCTTTAGTAAAGATTTCCAAATGATTCTACTAAGTACCCAGGTTTGAGAGCCATAGATTTCCCCTTACTCTGATAAAAGAGAAATTGAGGACAAGACATAGTCAGCAGTAGAGTCACGGTTAAAATTCAGGTCTCTCGACATAATCCAGTGATTTGAGGGATCAGATCAAAATCAGCTTTGAGCCTCTTATTAAAGTAAGAGTCTCTCCAAGTGATTATTCTACTGGGTAGGTACCCTAATGGATTACCTTTTTTTWAAAAAAAATTTTTTAGTTGTAAATGGATCTTTTATTTATTTATGTATTTATATGCAGTGCTGAGGATGGAAACCAGGCAAGTGCTCTACCACTGAGCCACAACCCCAGCCCCATGAATCACTTTTTAAGAGTGTTTAATATCACCATCACCTGGTCAGAAACAGCAGATACAGGGCCTTTTGGTAAACTATAGTAAGGATGGTGGCCTGGGAATATCCTCTGAAAAAAGGACCATACTTGGTGGTCTGAGTTATCTGGCAACCAAAGATTTGGTGTGCTTTTTGGATAATTTAGAATGCATAGCACCTTAGCTTTCTTAAGTATGTTTCTGTTTGGAAATTGATCTGAAAAAGGATCAGCTAAACCTGCTTGGCAGGTTGATAAAAATATAAGGAATAAACACTGGAGTGAGGCTGGGAAAGCCTGTGTGCGCAGTAGTAGCAAGGACATTCTCCAGTATTTTGCAGCATTGAGATCTTGTCAACCCCTTATTTAATCCACATGAATTTGTAGATCCTCTTCCTTTTGTTCAGGTGAGGAAACTAAGACTCAAAGAATAATTCTTGCCTGCTTTTAGGCCAAATAATATATTTAATAAGTTTTAGAACCAAAGCAATGTTCCAAGTCTTCAGACTTTCTAGAATTATTTTTTGAAAAATTTCTTCCCGCTATTCCATACTATTTAGTGGTATATTGGTTAACCTTTTTCCGCTGTAGTTTCTTCTGATAACATACTGGAAATAGAGCCTTGGCTATATCCTTGATAGCTTGGAAAGGGTTAAATCAGTTTACAATGTTGAGTGGAATGGAAGGCATTTATTCATGGTCTATCCATTAGTTTTACAGATCTGTTTTTTATAATATCTCTTTCAAGGTGGCAGACATCCAGTCATACTTCTCTTGGATTTTGTGCAGTTGCCCACAAAGCTTTGAGCTGTTAATGTTATGGAGATTTTGACCTGTTTCTAAAGTGCCTCTTCCCCTATTTTTCTCTTGACTTATCTGAAGCTCTTCAGGGATGTTTTGCATCACCAGAGTTTTCCAGGGATTCTGCATTTTTTTGGAGTAACAACTTGGCTATTCAATAAGTTAGCCATGGAGCCAATTTGAGAAGCCTGCTTCTGCCTACCTTATAGGAAACATTTTCTCTTTGACTCTCTGTCATTTTCAATTTTTCTTCTTCTCTTTCTTTAATTTTTTATTTTTTTGGTGGTAGAGATTGAACCCAAGACCCTGTGAGTATTAGGAAAGTTATCTATCACTGAGCTACATCCCCAACCCTCTATTGGTTTCAATTTCTTCCCAATAGTGAGTCCACCGGGGAATGGTGTAGGGAGATTTTGTGCCCTAGACATGGCCTCAAGCTTGGGAGTCTTATTCCCAAGTATTTCTAAAGGAACTTAGAGTTTGTCTGAGCCCTGAAGATACAGCTACTCTTTCTCCTTCAAATTCTGGAGTACTTATTAAGAGGAGCTTATTTGTGTGTCTCTTCTTACTGGGAACATATAGATTTAAAACAATGCATTTGTGTCAATTTGGAAGATATTTTGACTACTCCTCTTAGAATGGTCTCCTGCTGTGGATATTTATAGACAGTCCTGAGGATGAGCTATGCATCTCCTCAATCTATAATCTCTCTCATTTTTTTTAAACATTCATTTTTTTTAGTTGTATTGGACACAATACCTTCATTTTATTTATTTTTATGTGGTACTGAGAATCGAACCCAGGTCCTCGCATGTGCTAGGCAAATGCTCTACCACTGAGCCACAACCCCAGCCCCTTAACCTGTGTTTCTTTTTTTTGAATGAACGTTGAGATGAGTAGATGCTTTTGGGCCAGTCAGTAGACAAGATTGGGAGTTTCTATTAGACATTAATTAGTGCAGTGGAGATTTGATCATCACAAGTATCATATTTTAATGACTGAGCAAAAGAACAGGAGTTCAGTCTTATGTAAGTATCCTATGATCTGGAGATTATTTATCCTGTTTTCTGTTATTGCTAACCACCCTTTCTACATGTGTTTGGTATATGTATATGTAGACCAGAGTCTACTGAGGTGGAATGGAGTTGGCTCCCAGGGGCAAGAAAACTTATTTGGGCTCACCTGTAAGATTGAGAGGAAGGACATGCTATTCTGGCCACACATGCTTCTTGACAGTTATTCCTGTCATTTAGTCATTCATTCATTCATCTACTGTACTCTAGCACCAAGTAAGGTGCTGGGTATAGAACTGTGTTCTAATTAAACAGTGTCTACCTACATAGAACTTGATCTGTTAGGAAATCAGACATTAATCAGATTATCACATAGATACATAATTAATTACACATGGTAATAAGTGCTGTGAAGAATCATAGGATAGTATGAGAGAGAATGTCAAGGAGGAGGATGAAATTTACATTTGGACTGGGAGGAAGTGACATGTAAACCCAGACCTAATGGAAAAGGAGTTGGGTAGGCTAAGAGTAATGGGAAGAATATTTCATGTAAAATAACGTCTTGTATGAAGGTTTTGAGGTAGGAATAAGCTTGGCACTTTGGGAAAAAAACACAAAAACCTAGCATGGCTGGAAATTGGTATGAGATGAGGGAGGCTAGGGTGGTAGGCAGGAACCAGATCATGCAGGGCCTTCTTTAAAACTACATTTCTGTGGCTAATTCTTTGTTGGCAGATTTGGTTCTTTGCTTGAAAGCAGAAAAACAACAAATTATACCTGAGTCCTGTTAGTGAGTAGTAGACTTACCTGAAAGGCATGCTTCTAAATAAGATCTTTAGAAAAGCTCAAAAAGGCTTGTTTTGTTTGTTTCTTCTGCTCTTAGTTTTCTGATTGGAACCAAGAAGTTTTTAGTGATGGTTGTATATAAACTGTACTAAGTATAAATTATAGTACTTTGTGTGGCATTATATTTTAATTACTTAACTTTGTAGTTTGTTTCCCCCATTGGACTGGAGTATCTTAAGGTTAAGGACCATGGTCCATTCCATGTCTTTATTCCTGGCACCCAGTAAGGAATAAGGCATTAATGTTTTGGGATATACAGAGGGAGGTTTTTGCTTTCAGTTAGGAAGAAGTGAGTTTTGCATCAAAGAACAGGATTTGGAGAGCATGGTCTCTGCTTGCTCCTTTTAAGTCTCTTTTTGTTTATGTTTTAACCATTCCCAGTTAACCTCACTTCATTTTTCTTCCCATCTCTACAGGATCAATAAGCCAAGAGCTGAGGATTCAGGCGAATACCACTGCGTATACCATTTTGTCAGCGCTCCTAAAGCAAATGCCACCATTGAAGTGAAAGGTATGACCCAGCAGAGGCTGAGGTGTCAGTATCTTACTCCTGGGACTTTACTTTGGTCTGGACTCCTGGTGTTCGGTTCTTCTTTTTTTACCTTTTTACATTTCAAGAAGCAATGTATTATTATGGTTAGGACCCCAGACTCAGGAGCCTAGCTGACTGGGTTTAAATGCAAACCCAAACACTACCTGTGTGACTTTGGCAAGTTACTGGGTTTTCTATGCTTCTGTTTCCTTGTTTGTAAAATGAAGATATCAGCAGTATTTATCTTGTGAGTTTGGTAGGAGGATTAAAAGTAATTTAATAAGCTGGGCACTGTGGCACATACCTGTAATCCCAGTAGCTTGGGAGGCTGAGGCAGGAGGATTGTGAGTTCAAAGCCAGCCTCAGCAAAAGTGAGGCACTTATTTAGAGACCCTGTCTCTAAATAAAAATACAAAAAAGAGTTGAGGATGTGGCTCAGTGTTCAAGTGCCCCTGAGTTCAATCCCTAATACCCCACCTTTCCCCCCAAAATTAATAGAGTAGGTTTGAATTGAAGAAATTGCTGTTTAGGGGCTGGGGTTGTGGCTCAGTGTAACAGTGCTTGCCTAGCTTGTGAGAGGCACTGAGTTCAATCCTCAGCACTATATATAAGTAAAGTAAATACCCATTGACAATTTTAAAAAGTATATTTTTACAAAATTGCTGTTTTTATACAACAGAAATGTTTAAATGTTGGCAACTCATATGGCCCAATCTTAGGTAGAGCTCTTAGAATATCACCTTACAGGTATTATTACGTAGGGTTCCAGTGGGCTAACAGGATTTGGGAAAGTATAGTATGCAAGGTGAATATAAGCTGTTTGTAGGTAATTCATTAGAAATGTGCCTGTGGGTATATGGCATCATAAAGATGAGTCTTAAAGAGTTTTAAGAAGGGTAAATAGAACTATAAAAGTTAGAACCACCTAGTAACATCATTAATCTGTTTTTCTGTTACTCACAGGAAAAGTGAAACCACTAGCTCTGTGTTCTCTGGTGAGTTTTTTGGCAGAGCTGGCCTAGGGCCCAGGTCTCAATTCCCCATCCAGTGTTTTTTCCATTATTATAAAATGACCAGGGGGAGGCAGGTCTACTATTTGAGGTCACACTGAAAAGAGGAATTCTTTTATTTTTAGTGTTTTTCATTTTGCTTACGAAGGACCTAAACTTGTCCTTTAAATCCATATGCTCATTTCTAGAAGCTAGAAGGATAGATTTAGGAAAAAGTAAGGGCCTATGTAACAAGTATTCGGGTCTTCCTTAAAATATTTATAAGATTAACAATGCAGATTTAAGAAAGGCTTGCCTCGTGAGTGTCATAAAAATAAATAAATAAAAGGTGTTATGTCCTGTACAAAAAAAAAAAGAAAAGAAAAGAAAGGCTTAGTCAAATCCCCCAACCAAAGACTGAATATTCTAATATGCAGATGCTAACTCATAATAACAGGGTAGGGGGTAAGGGAAAAATAGAAGTGCTTTGGATTTAGACAAAGGGAATGAATGGCAGGGGGAATGGAAGTAAGAAAGATAGTAGAATGAATAAGATATTATTTTCCAATGTTCATACATGAATACACAACCAATGTAATTTATCATGTAGAACCAGAAGAATGGAAAGTTTTACTCCATGTATGTATAATATGTCAATATACATTCTATGTCATGTATAACTAAAAAGAACAGATAGAAAAACTAAAAAATAAATAAATACATAAATAAAAGGCTTAGTCACATTCAGAGTTTCCCTTACATGGTATAAAATGAAAGTAATAGCTTGGTGATGTGATTCCAACATTCTGAGTTGAAGAAGGTATAGGTCACTGCCTCTTCTGGCTGCCAGACTTTAATTTTGAATGCCTCAAGGATGGGAGTTACAGTGGTTATAGGTTCCAACAGGCCAGAACCTGGCATTTGAGTTCTCCCTTTTCATGGAGGGATCTAGATTCCTCTCTGTTTTTGAAGAATGCCACATTTGTTCAACATGAGGAAGAAGGTTGTGAGAAACTGTTTTCTCTAAGCCATCAAGGACCTTCCCCAGCTTAGACGAGCTGTGCTATATGGGAAGACTGTTGCTTTGTATGAAATGCTGCATTGTTCCTGGCTGAGCTTTGAGCATAAATTCCCAAGTATAGAGAGCAGGATAGATGAGGGAAGGGGAAAGTGGTGTGTCTAGCTAGTGGTCCTCAACTTGAGGGATAATTACACATAATGCAAGTCTTGGCTAACTGTAATCCTATGGATTTGGAGTTAATGATTTCTAGATAACACTTTAAGTGTAGAGACAGAGATAAGTTTTTCCATTGGTTTGACTGCCTTAAAAAGTGGGGTTCAGCAGCCCCAGAGATATTTTTCTTCACTTTTTTTTTTTTTTTTTTTTTAAGCAGATATGAAGCAGTAGTGGAGAGGGACAGAGAAGAGGAGGCTGCTGGAAGGAGTGTTTTCAGATAGAAGTTAAGACATGCATGGTATCTGTTACATGGTATCATATTCAAGGTGCTGATTGCACATTGCATTTTTACTGTACCACCCTACAATAAGGAAGATGGAGTAGGCGGTGGTATCCTTATTTTAAGGAAGCAGGCCTTGAGAAAAATTGTTTTATGAGATTCTAAAGCTTGTTCTTGGGTAGATAATTTCTTTGTTAAATCTCTGAAGAAAATTCCTAAGGAATTCTAATCTTTTTTCCCCCCAACATTTGGGCAAAGTAGCTAAATAATTAATGTCTTAGTGTTTCAGGTTATGGATAGTTGAGTCGAGTAAAGACTGAGTATTTGGCTTTTTCTATATTAAGTTTAAGTTTATATAGGCTCAAGATCATATTCTAAGCTAGTTTCCAATCATGGTTGGGCAGAAAAAAGTGGTAGAGGCACACTCCATACATTTAGAGTGGAGTGTGTGTTAATTCCCAAACCATTGTCATATAAACTCTAATTTTTTTCCCTCAGTACCTCCAGGGTGGGGTTAGAGACAGTTAACTTTTTATATTTACAGTGATTTGACAATTTTGCTGAGTAACTGACAGGTAAGAGGTGATTGTACTTAAGAACAGAGAAATTCTGGGAACATAAGTGACCTCTTTGCTGAAAGAAGGCTCTGAGAATCTTTCCCATTTATGGCTTTAACTGCATCAGCACTTCAGGGTAATTTAATTCAGACCATATGTGTATATTTCTTATATTTCTAAGGCAGTCAAACCAATGTATTTATTGTACATTCAGCCCTTTTTTCCCTTCTTGCTTTTCCTGTCTTTCAGAACATCTCTTGGGGGGTGTTTGGGGAGTGAAGGAATTAACCTAACTATGAACTGGGTATTATTTGTCAAATTACCAAATCTTGAATTACCTGTGGTGTACAAAAGAAAAGAAGGCTACAGGCATCAGGAGGGACATGTGTCTGGGAGTAGACTGAAGATGACCATGCATTTTCTCCCTAGCCTATAGATTGCTGTCAAGAAAGAATTTTGATGGTGATATCATCTCCCAATGATGAAGGCCTTGCATCTGAAGTAGGTTTTTTCTCCCATCTTTTATAAAAGACAAGGATGAGGCACAGTTTAAGAAGAAAGATACTGTACAGTTAAGGGTTATGTTTCTTAGGTAATTGGCAGGTGACCTGAGCAGATGCAGAGGTTGAAGACAGAGCAGGGCTGTGTAGGAGAGGGGAAATAGCCATGTGACCTTTGCCCCTAAACCCAGCCTCTCAGGGATCTGCTTAGCTCATTCCAAGGAAGGCATTGCTCCTGGTTTTTTGACACTTCAGAGGCTGTGGCTTCCTCATCTTATAGAGGATTTACGAAAGCTCTACAAAGATTTTGAAAATTTTTAGCCCTATAATTGTTCAACTCTTTGCCTCTTATTCCCTCTCTCTTTGAGCCCTTCACTTTCTAAAATTGAAAAAAATATGCTCATAAAAAAGCAAATTTAAAATTTCTATGTAATTTACAAAGTAAAAAGAAAATTTCTGCCAGGATTCCCAAGCCCTGTCTTTTTATCTCTCAACCTTTTGAATTTTAATGCTATTTGTATTAAATGGTCTTAGTAGTTACCAAATCCTTGACAGAAAATGTACCACTGACTCTCATGTGAGGTACATTCCAACCCAGAAAAGTTTGAACCTAGAGACATACTAGGACCATCTCTCACTGTTCCCTGGATATTCTTAACGAGTTTCAGTCTTTTGGTGGCTACAAAAGCCAAATTGATCTTTTTTTTTTTTTTCCTTCCTACCTGTTAGCTTTTTTTTTTTTTTTGCACTTTAAGATTTTTTTTTTAGGAATGAATTTTAGGATTTCTAGAAGAGGCCTTTTCATTACTTCCCTGTTTCCTGCTTGTTAACATGCCTTATAGGTGACAGATCACAGTCCAAACTGGCTGACGTGGATTGTGTGGTGAAAGTGAATATCATTATTGAGAGGAATAATACACATTTCATATTTGTACAGTCCCGTCACTATGTGCAGCATTTTCAGAGTCATTTCTTCATTTGATGTGAAGGAAATATAGCTAGTTTGATTGGTGAAGATGCTTAGAGATTGTGACATCATTTAGGTCAGAGCATATGCTAAAGCTGATCCAGAATTGTGATTACTTGAGAAGTCTTTGAAAGCATGATGATAATACCTTGAAGCTCTAGGACATTTTGAACATCAGCCTTAGCCCAAATAACTATCTCTACTCTTTTTTCCCCCTCCTTTTCAGGGTGCTATTCTGACTTTTCTTAATTAGAACAACTAACATTATTGCCCACTTACAATGTGCCAACACTATTTGTTCCTTTCCTCTCTTTCAGTCCTCACAGATGYGTGGGGTACATGCTGTTGTAATCTCCACTTTCCAGATGAGAAAAATCAAAGCTCAGGGGAATTAAACGACTGATCCAGTGTGACAGACTTAGCCAGTGGAGCCAGGTTCTTACCCAGGCACTCTAACACCAGAGACTGCTCCTAAGCATAAAACCATACTGCTGCGTTCAGCATGTAAT